CCCATATCATCACACTTTTTTTTTTTCTTTTTTTTCTTTTTTTTTTTCTTCTCGATCCCCCGTGCTGCTTGAGAGGAGGTGGTTATTGGTTATTATTTTATCTCGTGCAGACCTTTCTTTCTTTCTTTCTTTCTTTTGGAGTATGGAGATTGCGTGTATGTATGGGTGTATGCGTGTGTGGAGTATGCGTGTATGCGTATGCGTGTGTGGAGTATGGAGTATGGAGTATAGAGTGTAGAGTATGGGGATTAGGTGTATGTTATGTTATGTCATGGCATGGCATGGCGGTTTTTGAGCTTTGGGGTGCGGTACGGGTTGAGGGGTAGGGGGGTGATGTATGATGAGTGAGAGGTAGGGAAGGGGCGGTGGAGGGGGGGGGGGGGGGTGGAAGATAGTATTGGCGTGGAATGAGTTAGTGAATGAGGGAGGGTTTATTTGGATCTCTGGATCTGGAGCTGGAGCTGGAGCTGGAGCTGATTAGATTACGAGGGGGTTTTAAAGGCTTGGGTTGTTATATTGTGTTTTGATGCGTTGATGCGTTGATGCGTTGATGCGTTTGATTTAATGCTGGGTTTTGAGATATGGGGGGGGGGGAGGGGCGAGATTGTTTATTATGATGAGTAAGTAAGTAAGTAAGTATGATGTTGGGATTATTATTATTTATACTGTTCTTAGTAAATGTCAGACGAAGGAAGAAAGGGCCGTGGATTAATAGTAGGGAGGGGAGGTTTGGCGCTGGTGCTGCTGCTGGTGTTTGTGCTTGAGCTTGAGTTTGATGTTGATCTCTCTGATGATGAGGAAGAAGCAGAAAAGAAGAAAAGAGAAGGGAAAAGGAGAATTGTTGATGAGGTTCACAGAGAGATAGCTTGATGCTTGGTACTCGGATGATAGGTAGGCAGATTAGCGCTCAAGTTTTAACCCGCTTTTGGTATGTTTTTTAAGGAGTGAGGAGGAAGGATGGGTTATTGAGAAGTGACGAAGGATTGTAATTGTTGCTAATCCAGGTGTTGGTTGTATTGACTAGTCAATTGGGTTGTTGTGTTGGTAATGTCTAGTATTGCTAGGGAAGGCTGTGGCGGTTCCTTATGGGAACCGCGAGTGCACGTGCCATCCTCACGTGTCGCTGCCAAGCCCACGCTTTTCGTACCTTCCACTTCCATCAGGGCCACAATGGCCCTCAGTGATCCGACAGTTTCGCTTTCTTCTCGACCTCCTGCATTTGACGTTCAACTTGACCGGGGACTCAGCAGGGTGGTTGGTCACTCAAGTCTTTTGGTCGCGGCTGTAAGTATCGCGAATAGAGACTGCGCGAAGAAATAATGCGATATTGCCTCGCACATGGCACGCTTGTGCGAGAACTCTGATCGGGGAGTACTGAGATTGTCGGGTGATCTTTAGACGCTATACTGTAAATGACCGAGGCGCCATAACCGTCTGCAGCGGCTTTGATATCAGAGACGCGATCCAGGCGCACCGACTTGCGCTTTCGGCCTGCGCCCTCTTTAGCCTGCTCGCTCATTACTTGAGCGAAGCGACTCCATGCTGAGAAACTGGTGGCCATGTTTTCAATCCCTACTCTGTTTGGCACACCTTTTCTTAAAATCCCAGTCCGGGATATTCAAAATCAGCCTTTCCTTGAGAATGCAAAAGTGATGTAAATGCTATGGAAAACTTGCAACATAAGCAAGGGGCAGAACATCTACGGATGGCATCTCCCATAGTAGGCCGCTCTTAGTTCACACAGTGTTGGTAACACAGGTTTTGGTATTAACGAGTCAATTTGATTGTGTTATTGTTGATGTCTGAGCTATTCCTATTAGCCGTGGTGGTCCTTTAAGGGAACCATGGGTGCACGTACTATCCTCACGTGCTAAGGCTTGTACCTTCTACATTTACTATGACTACAATGGTAGTAGTGGTTCGACACTGGCAACTCGTTACTTGTAGTAAGAGCTGCTCTATTTCCATCTAATACATACTCCTTTAAAATCCCCCGTCCCGAAGTACCGCCGAAACTCTCGGGTCCCATTCCTTCAAAGTCCAATTCTTTTTTATTCTCGGTCCACTTATCTTTCGATTCGTAATATTCCTTTCATCCTTCGATTCGTAGTATTCATCTCGCAGATTCCGAGCCTCTTTGAAAGGTAAGTTAATTGTAGCTAATTTTTTCGTGGGAGAGGGAGGGGTATAATTAGCGTAGTATTTTAATAATTGCGGAAGTGGTGGCGGGTGTTTTGAAGGTAGTATAAGAGATAGTGAATGTTGTATAATCAGCGAAAGAAGTAAGAAAGGTAGCTGCGAATATAACTAAAGCTAGTCTTTTAATTGCTTTAATTGCGAGTCCTCCGATTATTAGTCTTTCAATTGCTTTGATTGCTAGTCTTCCGCTTACTAAATAAATTAAGCTAGTTAAATTGGCTAACGTAGCTAAGATCGTAGTCCTTGCTCTCTTAAGTAAAAGCGTACATCTCGAAAATTTAATCGAAGAAAGCAAGTGCGTTAAAATTAATTCATAAACTAAAGGCGCGCGTCTTTAGGTTTTAATAGAAATAAGCAGGTATTGAGATTCGGCATTTTGACGTCGCATATGGAAGGCTGCGAATCGAAGTGTAAGATTCGAACCGCTTCGCGACAAGATCGAAAAGTTGGTGGTTCGAACTCGTGCATGAGGGAAGGTGAGATGTGGTTCGAAACTGGGTATGAGAAAGCTGATTCGAGTGGTAGTTGGAAGGGGGCAAATCGAAGAACTGCGAGCAATGTAACTTGCCTAGAGAATAGTTCGAATGTGTCACGGTACGAGAGCGGTATGCTTGGTGGTGGTATATCACAAGGAGTTAGTAATGAACTAGTCTATGCGATTGTTGTTGTGTGGTATTGGTGATGATGGTTCTTCTACCGGTACTCCTACAGTTGTAGGCTTGTCCCCCAAGGGGGCAGGAACCACGGGTGCACGTGCCATCACGTGCCTAGGTCCCTTACGTGCCCGGCCCACAATGGTCGCAATGGTCCGACACTGGCAACTCTTTACTTACAGTAAGAGTCTCTATTCCCACCTTATACATGTTCCTTCTAAAATTCCCGTCCCGATGCACAGCCGAATTTCTCGGTAAATTGTAGAAGCACCAAAAAAGAGCTGTCGTATAGAAGCCCAACAACAAGGCTGGACCTCATGGTCCTCACAAAGAAGTGCAAAAAAGATGGGTGGAAAGCTCGTTGATTGTTCTAGCGAATAGGTGTGTGCCCTCTTATAGAAGTTGGGCCCTGTCTAGTGTGGCCCTAGTGGTTCTGGCAGGAAGCATGGCAGGCAGGGTGTTTACATCCATCCCCTCATAGAATAGGTAGGCGCCCCTGCCTACCATCAAGCAAGAAGAAAAAAGGGGGGGGGGTGAAAGAAAGGAAAAAAAATCTAGTGTACAAAAAGGGTATCTTGTCTCCAACTCCAGTCAATCCGAATCACTCCCCAGTCCTCTTCAAGGCTCTCCTCGGCATCCTCGGCAGGGTAAGACGGTCTTTTTCTCTTTCCAGCTCCAGCCTTGGATGATGATGCAGCGCCGGCAGCTTCCTCAGGTGTCAAGGAGCGTGTCTCATTCTATTCTTGCGCTTGGTACCAGCAGGCTCGTTGATGGCAGTGAATGTGGTCGTCGGAGGGTCAGCAGGTCCAGAGTAAGGTCCAGAACCACCAACAGTAAGGTCTTCTTCAGCGACCTCAATCACCTCGTTGAGAAGCTCGATAGCTTCGTCGGAGGCGGGGTCAGGAATGTCGGGTTGTGCCGTAGCAGACTCAGGTTGATCAATTCGACTCGTGAAGCCATGCAGGGTGTTTACCGTATATCACAAGTCTATGCGATTGTTGTGTTGTATTGTCGATGGTTCTGTCCTATTGCTACTAGTTGTAGGCTGTCCCTTAAGAGGGCAGGAACCACGGGTGCACGTGCCATCCTCACGTGCCCGGCCCACCATAGTTGCAGTGATCCGACACTTGGTGTTGCTGCGAAGTTGAATAAGAGATTTTGCCTCGTCGCACTTGCTCACGTTTTCTCATCGCTCGGACTCTTGGCGGTTCTGGCTTGCATCCAAAAACTTCCTCCCACAGCTATCCGCCGTGATAGAGACAATGAAACTTGTCTGAAAGAATGTCGGGCGTCGACGTCGACTACTCGAGGACGATAGTGAGAATTCCCTTTCAAGGTTATTCTTGGGTGCCTCGACCATAGGATGTCTTTGAGTCTTGGAGATTTTGGCTCGCTTAGAGATCGGAGAAGAAATTCGAGGAAATCGCCCATGTTATCGGCCCAAGCAGACCGACCCACTGAAGGACCCCAGGCCGCGATACCGAAGCATATGTTCTGATAACTAGTTTTGGTGACGATCCACTGAGCGTTGTGATACATGGTCACACTGCAAAATCCCACTGCAACATCGTGTCTTCCTTGATTTGCTTAAGGGTAGCGTCTTTGCTAAGAAGTCCAAGGTCGCGAGCGCGACGTTTCTTAAGAAGGGTTTGATACTCCTGGTCTACTAAGAAGAATGAGCGCAAGCAGACGAAATCTACAGGTAAAAACCTGTAGGTGGTAGGGGGAGGTTGGTTATAAATAAGAATCGATAGATAAGAGAAGCAGGTGGGTTGTAGGTTAGAACCCGCAAGGAAGGAGGGGGGGAAGGTAACAGACAAAAATATACAAGAGGGGTAGTACAGAGAGAGGTGTATTTATTGTATGACCGTGAATAGATAGATGTAAGGGAGTGTGAGGGAAAGGGGGAAGTCTTACCAGCGGTGGCTTGCTATCGCTTCAGAAAGGTGCCAACTTAGTCGGTACCATAGATCTTCCCGGTGTGAGGGTCGGAGGGGCCATGCTTTGGTCGGCTGGGGTCGGGGGCCCAGGTACTGACTGGTGCTGCAGCGACGTTGATGCCAATGAAATTGATGATTCATTCTCAAGTCTCCTTGCCGCTGTAGTCCAGGATGGAAATCTGCTTTTGTGCTTGTCCATGCTTCAGGTTGAACTGAGAATTAGAGCATAAATTAAGGACGTGGGTGATGTGGTCCGGTATGGTCTTCGATAGGTAGGCGAAGATAAAGAGACGGAAAATGACTTTGATGGAGTGGCTAGTAAGCGCTTGGATTGTACAAAGCAGATGGATTATAAGTAATAGTTGTTGTACTGACGTAAATTGATCGTGTCGTAGTTAAATTTAATAAAAACAAAGTAGTCATTAGATTTTATATATATATATATATATATAGAATAGGTAAGCTAGCTTAGCATGCGCTTGAAAGGCGAGTCTCTTTTCGCCAGCGACCCGAAAACAAACCGTATGACAAGGGCTATATAATACAAATCTTGATGCTGATGAGAAAGAGAAAAGAAGAGGAAGTCACAGGCCTTATATAGGTGTTCTGTCTACCTCCAGACCCACGCTAGCGGGACTTTACATTTACAAGCACGCTTGAGCAATCGCACTTGCTTTAGCGGTACTAGACAAATATATATATATATATAAATTTTTAATTTTTTTCTTCTTAAAAATTCCAAGCGCCGAAAGACGTGCCTAAAAAAGTTTTAGGCTTGCAACCAGAAAAGACTTCAAGTATATATAAATCAGCACAAATAATCACATTGTGCAATGGGGGAAAAAAAAAAATTCCATGATAACATGTACTGGTAGACTTCCATCCTGATGCTTGTTAAGTCAGTAGCAAACTGAGATTAAATGCTGGCTAGAACTTCCTCAAAAGCAGCAGAAGGATTTCGTTTGCTATCAAACTTCATCTACGAAGTATAGAATTTGGTCGCGTTTCGTCCTGCGATGCTTGTGTAACTATACAGACTCTCGACTTTGTCAGCTTGCCTTCTTGTCCGTAAGCATAATCTGCAAGCCACGGGCACGGATGTGATGACGGACATCCGCAACACACTATGGCATTGTTGAAACGGGCGAGCTTTGCAGTATCGATGATGTAAAGGGAATGTGAAGTGGCGACCACAGACGAAACATCTGACCACACCGACTACATCTCCACACTGGTGACCTCCAGGAACAACCCTCGCGCGGTTGGTGATGTATATATATATATACTGTCCAATCGACATATAAAAAAATACCATCTAATTGACATTTCTCTCCTGGGGATCGCATCTGAACCCCGAATATAATTGCCTGGCGCAATTGAAAACGCAATCACCACAAGCTGCTTGCTATCCAAGAGCCGAGCCGAGCGACCATTGGAGATTCCAGGACATCTCTATACTACAACCACAACATGGGCGGAGGACCAGAGAAGAGCGGATTCAAGGATGAATCAGAGCAGACGCATGTTGTGCCTCCCAAAAAGGGGCCCAAATACATATTCTCATTGTAAGATGAGCTTCACACCCTTAAACTCTAATCACTCGGGAGGACTTGGATGCTAACAACGGTAGTGGCGACTCCTACACGGCGACAAACTTCGACATCAATGGCGAGCAGCCCAGCGCCAAGAACCCCATGGGAAACAACGACATAGGAAACGGTCTGACCAGCGCCCAAGGCCCCGTCTGGATCGAATTCCTCACGAAAAAGTACAACACCAGCCCGGTCCTGACCTACAACTTCGCCGTGGGCGGCGCCTCGATCCCAGACAACTACACCGTGCAGATCCAGGAGATGTACCAGCCCAAATACAGCCGCGACAAGTTCTGGCACGGCTCCAACACCCTGTTCACGTCGTGGATCGGCATCAACGACGTGAGCGATGCGTGGATCAACAAGGACTCGCAGCGCTTGCTCGACCGGCTGGACCAATGGGATGCGTTGATGGAGCAGCTCTGGGACACGGGCGCCCGGAACTTCTTCATCGTCAACAACCCGCCGCTGGAACGCAGCCCGTTCATTGCGGGATTCGGGGAGAGCTCCATCGCCCTCTACAAGAGGAACATCCAGATCTACAACGAGAACCAGGCGAAGCACGTGTCTGCTTTCCGAGAGAAGCACCCCGAGGTAAGTACAAAAAAAAAAAAAGAAAGAAAGAAAGAAAGAACAAACGTAAAAAGAAAAAGAAAAAACCCCCCCCCCCTCTTCCGCCTGGACGTTCTGAGTGCTAAGGGATTAAATACAGGCGACGATCCTGCTGTACGATGTGCATGCTCTCTTCACGAAAGTGATGGACGACCCGCAAAAGTACGGGTTCAAAGACGCCACCTCGATGGACTCGGAGGGGTGCCTGTGGTCTGGGAGTTTCCACATCCTGACGGGCTTTGACGATTTCATCGCGAGAGACATGGCGAAGACCATTGCCGAGTTTGACTTTGCATGAGGAGCCAACAGTCTTGGGGTCCGATGTGGTTGAGGCCGTAGAAAGTAGAAAGTAGAAAGTAGAAAGTAGAAAGTAGAAAAGTAGAAAAGTAGAAAGTAGAAAGTAGAAAGTAGAAAGTAGAAAGTAGAAAAGTAGAAAGTAGAACACAGAAAGTAGTACATAAGCACCAGATTACAACCCGAAGCCCCGAGCCTGGCTCTTCGGGCTGCGAGCACGTCAACGCCAGAGAGAGAGGCCACGTCTCTCGTCTCTCGTCTCCCGTCTCCCGTCTCCCGTCTCGCTCTCTGTGACTTTAGTGTGTCCAAGCGGACGGACCCGATCCCGTGTCTTCCAAGTTCCGTTTCCCTCTAGATCGCGGCAGAGGCGTCTGAAAAGTTGCGCCTGAGCTGCTGCCGCCCTGCCCGCTGGCGATCTACCAAGCTGCCATCTCGTGTCAGCCAGGAAGCCAGCCAGCCAGCTAGCTAGCTACCTCCATGCTTACTTATGACCGAGCTGCCCCCGATTGCCACCGCGATAGGTATGAACCAAGAGATCCCCCGGCGTGGTTCACGATAATCAGGAGCACCGTGGTTGAGTTGGTACATGTGGCGGTGGGAGCACCCATCTCCGCAGAAGAATACAAATGGACCCTCTCGAACCCCTTGTCGAGAATCAAGCCTCGTGTGCTCTTCGAGATCCATCTCAGGAGGAACAGCTTGCCCGCCCCCGAACCGCGATTGACGGAGCCAAAGCAGATGAGTGCCCACTGCTACCAACCCGGGCCTCATCCGCAGCTACTATTTCCCCAATGCATCATCACGTCGGGTCACGTCAAGTACAGCGCACACCTTATATCTGCCACGGAGAGTTCGCAAAGGCATCATCATCTAGGCATCTTTTGCATCTATCTGATCTCACTTCGCTGCATCCAATTATCTCGTGAAGCATCCTTCTCCCTCCCTATAGGCAAGCCTCTCACCACCAGGAAAATACACGCTGATCCAAGCCCCCAAGAGCATTCTCCCATCCGTCCCATCCCTCACTCAAAACCGCACTTTCTTCCGTTCGCATTTGCATTGCACGCCCTGATAGAAAAAGCAATCTGTGCGGGCCTATCACCACCGCTCTCTAGAAATCACTTCACATCCCCTCTGCATAATTTTTCACCCCCGCCACTATGCTACCACCCGAAAATGCAAAAAAAAAAAGTAAAAGTATTTCCCCAAACGCCAGGTGCTGCATGATCCCAAGGAAAAGAACAGCAGCGGGAAAATCAGAAATGAAGTAAGCAAAGTGTCGTTCTCTGTTGACGATGTGCTCGAAATTTCCCGACCTCGCAATATTCCCAAACGCCTGGATGCAGCCAAAGGTCTTGTTTTTTCTTTTCACGAGTAAGTCTCGCATATTGTACAGAGAAAGTGGAAACCGGACTGTAATTTCAGTTGCGAGGAGATGTTGGGGAGAACTGAGGACTACGGAGATGTTAGTGAGAGTGGTCAGCAGCAATGGGGAGAAGAAAATACCTAGTCGGCGAGTAGGAGGGACTGGTGGGAGAGTACTTCGGCGAAGTGGCAACTCCTCCTTGTGCCGGCGAAGTCGGACTCCAGTTGGGACTTGACGGGCTATAGACAGGGCTGGTCGGAGAAAGCCCAGAGCCAGGCGACGTCTTGGTACCCGAGAAGTTTGGAGACGTAGGGCTGTAATTTGGGGACGTGGGCGAATAGCTGGGTGACGTGGGGCTGTACGACGGCGAGCTGGGCGACACATGAAGGTTTGGAGATGTCGGAGAGTAGTTTGGCGATGTGGGACTGTACGACGGCGAGGTCGGGGATACGAACGACGGACTCGTAGGGCTGTATGCGGGACTGGTTGGGGTGAACGCAGGGCTGACAGGGCTGAACCGGGGCGACGCAACATTATATCCGGGGCTGGAGACATTCATCATTGGAGAGGTTGGAGAGTAACCCGGAGATGTTGGAGAAAATCCTGGCGACACTGGGCTTGTGCTGAACGGACTTGTAGGCGAGTAACCTCCACCAGGGCTTCGCGCGGTGTACGGGCTCTGGTTGCTAAAGCCATTGGCATCCGAGTAGGCAGTCGCGAAACCTCCGGGGGTAGCTGAGCCGCCTGACTGAATGGGAGAGAAATTCGAATCGTAATCCGGAGTGCCAATGCCGAGGTAGCCACCATCGCTAAGAGGAGACGAAGAGTCATATGGCGTAGCAGCACCACCATCAGCGCCCTTGACTGCCAGACCAGGCATGAGGCCCATTCTGCCGTTATCGGAGATGACCGTCTCGAGCATCTTGGGATCGAGAAGCACATCGAGCTCTCCGGTACCCATCGGCGCAAGTTGGCCCAGCATGACGTTCTCGGAGATACCACGGCAGTCATCAAGCTCCCCAACAGCAGCCGCCTCGAGGAGAATTTCTACAGTCTCCTCGAAGGAACATCTCATCAACGCACCGGTGTCAGCACGGTTGATACCATGACGAGTGATAGCCATGAGATGACCACGGGATGTCATGACATCTACCAAAAGCGCCAAATGGCGATGGTTGACATAAGAACCATCGAAAGCAAGCACCTGTGTCAATTCACGCATCAGCGCAGAGCGGGTCGCCTCAATACCGAAGACCTGGAACACCTGAATGAAGTGATTCGAGTACGTGCGAGTGGTGTCAACTCCAGGAATAGTGAGAACATCACCAAGTTCTGTTCCAGATGTATCGAGGTACCATTCTTCGCAGCGTGGATCATCCTTAGACGCTAACAGGCCACCGGCAGGGGTCTCGATGAGCTTAGTTTCCTTGTTCAAGAAGGCTCTGTCAACACCTTTGACACCACGGAGGGTAAGCGTGTCAAGTATATGGGCTTCGAGACGCTTGAGCATGATGTCCTGCTCAATGTCGTCATCCTCAAATTTGGAGTCGCTCTGGTTGATCATTCGAATACGGATAACCTGTTCCTCGGCATTGTTGTCACTGAAGATGACGGCCAAGTCTTTTTGATAAGCCTCCTTGATCTTTGTCGCGACATCTTCAACCCGCAGGCCCTTATCCAGCATCTTCTGACGGTCAAGGACCAGACGGAGAAGCCATCTGGATTGATTATCGGGAGCATCATGACTGTCATCGGGGATGATGAAGTAGGACTCTACCATGTCCAAATCATCCTCTATTGTCGTAGACTGAATATCAGGATCGTGGTAGATCTCAGTAGCAGCGGTGACAGAGCGCAGGTTTGTGTGCTCAACAGCGCTTCGCAGGAGCTTGGCAGACTCTTGGTTACCATTGCCTTCCAGGTAGACAACCATGGAAGGAGTCTTAATGTTAGTGGCAACGTTGAGAATCTCCTTTAGACGAGGTACACCAAGTGTGACGTTCTTGGAAGACACACCAGCGAAATGGAAAGTGTTGAGTGTCATCTGAGTAGCGGGCTCTCCAATGGACTGGGCTGCAAGAACACCAACCATCTCTCCGGGGTTAACTAAAGCTCTCATGAATCGGTTCTCGATTTCTCCCAGAACATGGGCGAAGGCGAGCTTGTTGAGGCGCATTTGCAGGGCGACACGCTTGTATGCAAGACGGGACCGCACTTGTGCCTTGATCAACAACGTAGCGTTAGTCTGAGCCTCCACTGACAGCTCGTCCTCTCCTCGAACGATGATCATGCGGTCCAGCAACTGCCTGACCGCTGGGATGACATCTGCTGGATGCAGGTCACTTCGGTGAGAATCGTCAACCTTGAACAGTCTCTTGGCGCTGTCGATGATTCGGACAATGTTCAGCGGCAACTGCATCGATTCGTCATCCTTTTTCTTCCAGTTGACGTAACGGAGCATCTTGCGATCCTCCAAGAGCTGTTCGTACTCCTCGTCGAGGAGTTGCTGCATTTCGAGATCGCCTGCGAGATCGTTTGCGCGTTCGAGGAGATCTGGGGAAATTGGGTTGCGGTCATCCATAACGTCGAGACGATAACGAGCGGCGAACTTCTTGTCGTCCAAATTGATATGGTCAACCTTCTGCTTCTCGATGTGCACACCATCAAGACCATCCTCTCCGTAGACAAACTGCACGATATCTCCGAGGGAGTTTCGCACGGTTCCATCATACTTGGCCATCACATCTTCCAAAGCCTTGACGAGACGACGTTGGATGTATCCCGTCTCAGCAGTCTTCACGGCAGTGTCGATCAAACCTTCACGACCAGCCATTGCGTGGAAGAAGAACTCGGTGGGTGTCAAGCCTCGGAGGTACGAGTTCTCGACGAAGCCGCGAGACTCTGGAGAGTAGTCGTCCTTGGTAAAATGAGGCAAGGTTCGATACTTGAAGCCGAAGGGAATCCGCTTTCCTTCAACGGATTGCTGTCCGACCAATGCAGTCATCTGAGAAATGTTGATGGTGGATCCCTTGGAACCGGATCTAGCCATGGTGACAGCGTTGTTATTATCTTTCAGACTACCCTCAGTCTTGGTACCAGCTTGATCACGAGCGGTGTTCAAGGCCTTGGAGACCTGGGACTCAAAAGTCTCACGAACATTCATTCCTGGGAGAGATTCGAGCTGATTTGCAGTAGCCATTGCAGTCAACTTGGCAACCTCTTCTTTCTGTGCCCCAATGGCGCCTTCAATCTTGGCAATCGTGGACTTGTCAGGGACTGTGTCACCGATACCGATACTGAAACCATTGTGAAGAAGCCAGTAATTGACGACTCGCTGACAACCGTTGAAAAAGGCCATTGCGGCATCAGAACCCATCTCGTTGAAAATGATGTGGATGATACCACCACTGGTTGCACCAATGTTCTTCTTGGCCATCAAGCCGTACATCAGCTCTCCTTCGTGAACCAAAAGCCCGTCATCCTTGAGGGGAGCATCTTCGCGACCGTCGTTAGGCATATTGAGATTGACAATCTTAGGGATGATCATGCTGACAACCTGCTTTCCGGTCCATCGTGGTCTTGGCTTCAGGATGGCAGGTTGTGGAATGACTCCGTCCCATTCCGGAACCCAAAGGAGGATGTTCATCAAGTGCTCCTTGGTGACAAAGCAATCTCTTCTGCACATCTTATAAACACCAGCGAGAGTATCCTGTACAATACCCATAAGAGGGCCGTTCCGCTGGGGCGAGACAATGTTCAGGGGAACCATGCAGAGATTCATGATCTCGGCTCGGGTCTCCTCGGTTTGCGGGACATGCAAATTCATTTCGTCACCATCGAAATCGGCGTTGTAGGGCGAAGTAACCGACAAGTTGAGACGGAAAGTTGAGTAGGGCATCACTCGGACTCTGTGACCCATCATGGACTCCTTGTGCAGAGAGGGTTGGCGATTGAAGACGATGAAGTCTCCATCAACAATATGTCTCTCGACCTTCCAGCCATACTCCAACGAGATTGCTCCAGCACGCTTGTGATGTCGAAGATCGATACGGCTACCATCCGAACGGACAACGTACTTGGCTCCAGGGTGCTCGTTGGGACCATTCTCGACCAGTTGATGCAGCTTTCCGATGTTGTATGGCGTCACGGTTTCAGGATATGTAAGAGTCCGCGCAATACTTCTCGGCACACCGACCTCGTCCAAAGACAAATTCGGATCTCCCGTGATGACGGTACGTGCCGAGAAATCCACACGCTTACCCATCAAGTTACCACGAAGACGACCTTCCTTACCCTTTAGGCGGGCGCGGATGGACTTGACAGGTCTGCCAGACTTCTGTAGAGCTTGAGGCTGGCCAGCAATATCGTTGTCCATGTATGTAGCAACGTGATACTGCAGCAGCTTCTCGAAATCAGACAGGATATGAGCTGGGGAGCCCTCCTGCTGTGCCTGCCTAACATTGCCATTGGCGCGAATGATATCGCCGAGCTTGTATGTCAAATCATCTTCTCCTCGCATTCCTTGACTTGTACCATCCATGGAAATACTTGGTCGGACAGGTGGAGGAGGAACTGGAAGGACGGTAATGATCATCCACTCGGGACGTGCGTAGTCGTTACTCAACCCGAGGTCGAAGATTTCTGATGTGGAAATGCTTCGGAAGACATTCAAAGCCATTTCTGGCGTGATGGCTCGCTTCTCTGGTTGAGCACCCTCATTGTCCTCATCCTTAGGAACCTTCCAAGTGCCGAACAGCTCGAGAGCCACCTGGCGCACTTCAGGCTGTGTGTTTCCGCAACCCCCATGAGCGCGCTTGGCCAAATCCTTCGGGTCAACGCTGCCATCCGCGCCTTCTTGCGAAGCGTCACTGTCGCAGATCATCTTGGGCTTACAAAGTCGCCATATGGTATCGAATCTTCGCTTGGGATCTCGAATATTGACTGCAGCTTTGTAGGCCGGGTTACTCTGAAATCTTGACGTTAGCAAAGAACCACCACAAGAGATCAGGCACGCATTGCGGGCTACTGACTCTGTCTAGCAGTACTCTACCACAGTTGTGGCAGACCATCTCCAGCAGCTTCTTGGTCTTCTTCAAAAATCCAGGATGGTAGACAGGCTTGGCTAATTCGATGTGACCAAAATGACCGGGACACTCGGACATATTCTGGTCACAAGTGGCGCATTTAAACTGTCTATCGATGGATCCCAGGCGCGGGTCATTCAATCCCTGATCGCGCGGCTTCGTTCGAGTCTCGTCCATCGTCTCGGGGTAAAGAATATGGCATACGCTCATGTTCTTGATCTCTTCAGGAGAGAGCAGGCCGAACTGCACCTCCTGGATGGTTCGGAGGGGCGCATCGGAGTGCGTAAAGATGAGGTTTGCCATATTGACGGATGAGAGGGTTCACCTCGTGTGGCAAACAGGGGGGGTTGAGGCTTCGGCGCAGCGCGGCTGTGGAGTCAAGGCGGTCGCGAAGGTTGTTCAGGTCGCAGAACAGTGATAGATACAGAAGTAATCGACGCGCGCGATGGGAGAGAAGGTTGTTGTGCGAAGGCGCTGGAGGCAGCCGAGGCCAGAGGCCTGTTCAAAGCCTTCAGGTGTCCGACTGTGAGAGATCCAGAGCGAGGCGGCGGGCGACTTCGTAGAGAGGGTGTATGGTATTGCTTCCTCGTAAGAAAGACTGTCGAAGAGGAATGCACGATATCGGACGCGCGATTCCTGTTTGTTGTGGTGTTGACGTCGATGGGTGGGTGATGCGTGGAAGGAGCGCGTTGTTGCACGGGTAAGTAGAAGTTCTCCGGAATAGAGCAGAGCAGAGCCTCAAGAAGCGCGCTAGCTCTCGTTGTGGTTTAGCGTCTTGGCATAATCATGAGCTCCGCACATAGGGACCTCTACCGTACTTAAGTACTGGCACGCCACACACTGCCACACTGCCACTGCCACTGTGGCTGAATCGCTTTGTTTCAACTTGGGTTCTTTCCCTGCACAGGGGTTCGAAATGCCGTTGGAATGATGGATTTATCTCAACAACATATACCGGTATTTTGGGCTGGGAATAGCCTCCCAAGGCGAGAGCTTACGTTATCACGATGATGGTGATGGAGATCACGTGACTACACACCTGGTATATGGCTTCGGCTTCGGCTTCACCTTCAGCTTTAGCTTCACCTTTACCTTCACCTTTACCTTCACCTTCACCACCTTCACC